TTCCACAGATGAAGGTACCACAATTTGCTTAACCATTCACCAGCTGAGGACATGTAGATTATTTCCAGTTTGGAGCTATTATTCATAAAAAAACTAATGATGTTGAATATTAAAAAAATGTTTTATTGACAAAGGAAGACAATCAAAAAAGCTTGTAGACCATAACCCTAATGTTTCAGGTCTTTCTTACCTCAAGATCTTCTGTCTTACCCATCTCTCCTTTTAGAACCTCTCCCTGCTTTTCTCTAGCTAACTCTTGAACTCCAGAGAAAGTGTTAAAAGTCTTCCCTAACTCCCAGACCAGGGGTACCTCCACCTGTTTTATGCCCCCAATGCCCCTGGCACTTTCCCCCCGAAGCCCACTGTACCTGATATTTTCTATCTGCCCCTCCAGATCTACTCTCCACCCTTCTTCATTCTGCTCTCAGCCCAAGACTACAACAAATCTCCTTAGTCCTCTGGGTTCCAGTTGGCTTTGATTTCTAGGGAGCTCTTGCAGGGGAAGGAAAGAGAGAGAGGGCCTAATCTTATTCCCCCAGCCCCTCACTGTAAGGCTGACTCAGGAAACTTGTGTGTCTAGAAGGAAAGCCTCAGCTTCCCTCTACACAACACTATCTTCCTAGGTTTTAATATCTGCTCCCTTCCCTTTGTCCCCTTGGTCCTGTAGATGTATTTTGCTTGGTCTAATCTAGGTTTTGAAATTGGAATTAGTTGTCGACACTTAATAATGGGAAGATTTTGCATAAAATTTCAGATGTCTGGCTTCTCTTGAAAAGAAATCAGAAGAAGGTTTGACAACACTGAGCCTGCATTCCAAATAGTAACCAAATAGTGTGGCCTTGAGTAGAGCCACCGCTTCCACTGGGGCAGCTACTCTTAAGGATTCACCATCACCAGTGACTCCCTGTTGCATACAATAATCTTGCTTTGCTATTACCACCCTGGCACTGGGAGTCATGGTTTAAAGAATGTGTTGCCTGCTAGGTAGGTCCTGTGTCAGACTTCTCATCAGATTTGGAGAAAGGGCATGGCTGGCCTCTCCCATCTGTCTGCTTTACTCTCTCTCCCCTTGCACCACCTACAGCGTCCTCTCTCTGGGATTTCTATCATTCTATCATCCCCTCCTAGACCCCACTTGCTCCTAGGCTTGCTGCTCCTCTCCGCACTTCTCACACCCTGCCAGAGTGCCTTTTTTTTTTTTTTTTTTTGAGACAGAGTCTCACTCTGTCACCCAGGCTAGAGTGCAGTGGCGCAATCTCAGCTCACTGCAACCTCTGCCCCTGGGTTCAAGCAATTCTCCTGCCTCAGCCTCGCAAGTAGCCAGGAGTACAGGCAGCTGCCACCGTGCCCGGCTAATTTTTTGTATTTTTAGTAGAGGCAGGGTTTCAATTTCACCATCTTGACTAGGCTGGTCTTGAACTTTTGACTTCGTGATCCACACGCCTCGGCCACCCAAAGTGCTGGGATTACAGGTGTGAGCCATCACACCCGGCCCAGAGTGCTCTTCTTAAATGGGGCTCAGATTACAACCCTCTCTCTTAAAACCTTGCTAGATTTTCTCATTGCCCTATAGTTAAAGCCTGCATTTCTAAATCAATCTCCTGGCTTATCTGACCTTTACCTACCACCAGGCTGATCTGGGGCCACTCCTCCTCATTCTGCTTTTCCAGAACAGTGGGTTCCTCAAGCACACATCTTATGTCTCGCCTGGGCAGCATACTTGCCAAGCTCCTGGGCCAAGTATGAGGCCTCTCTCCATACTTCCTGGTCACAACCTAAGTGCCCTTACCCAGATAGTGCCTTTCCATTCTGTGTCTGTATCTCTTCCTAATAGGTGCTATACTTGTAAGAAGGGATTTTTTTTTCAGTCTTTCTGTCATTGGACTGTGAGAACAGTGTTCATCTTTTTCACTGCCTGATTTATAGTAGGTGCTCATTGAACATTTATTGAAAGAGCAGATTTAGAGATCTAGCTCTTCATGGAATAGCAGTTTCTACCACTTAGTGACAATGTGGAATACCAGGGCTTCTAAAGTGTTTAGTATGATCATACATTTATGCTATGAGGCCTGCCTGTAGGGTGATTGCACATGAGGTGAGGCCATCGGGGCACCTACGGCAGAGGATTTAAGAAAGCTTTCACCCTTACAATGCCTCTCCTGCCACACTCTAGACCTGGCTCTGGGAGGGAAGCCTTTGCTAAGAACCATGAAAGGAAAAGAGAAAAAGAAAATTAGGATGGTGCTAAAGGGAGATTTGTGATGGCAGCCTGACACCCACGACCTGATTCTTGAACACTCACTGTGGATAGAATGGTGTATGGTGGCCACAGGGAGGAGAGGGCAGCAGAATGATGATACCTTAACTGACACCTGAGTATGTGATGGGAGAACTGAGGAGAAGCAGGGGGTTCTTCTACAGGAAATTGAAGGGTGGAATTCATTATTCTAGCCCTTAAAACAACAGCTTACCCAACAGGTTACACAAAACCAGGTTTCTGTTTCAGATAAACAGGTAAAGGAACTCTTAATCCTAAAGACTGAAAAGTAGAAAAGAAAGGGAAGAAGAGTGCCCCAGGATTGCCATTGCAGGTTCTTTTTTCTGGGGCTGATTGCCAGCTGAGCTTATTCAAACCCCAGAGCAAACATTCTGCTCCTGCTCTCATAGAGCCGCCCTCCTGCCGTTCAGTATTGCCTCCTGCGATGAAGGGCTGGCTCAGCAGACACCAGTGAACCCTTTTCCATTCCAGAAGCCCCAGTGGACCTACTTTAATAGACCAATAACACTCCTATTTTAAACTAGCTGTATCTATTTTCGTGCTAATAATCACAGTGCCAAAGTTCTTTAAAGCAGTTATTTTGTAAGTAGGTCAAACAGGTACTTTGGGATCCTGTTCTGTCTGTTTACTGGCCGGGTAACCTCTTTGTTATCTAATTCAAAGTCCAGTACAGTTTGAACCAAAACAAAAAATGAATGATGTTTCACTTGTAGTCAAGATTCATTCATTTTCTAACATTAATCATTTTCATTACACAATAAGTCTATATTCATGACAAAAAAATAGAAAATACAAATAAGCAAAACTAAATTGAAAGGAAAACCATCTGTGATCTGCCAATTAGAAAATCTCTATTCTAAACATTTTGGTAAATATGCTACCAGATTTTTATCTATGCAAACGTGTATTTGTATTTTTCCTCACTTGTATATTGAACACCTTTTCATATTAATAAATTAGTTAGCATCATTATTTTTGATAGCTTCATGGTGTGCCATTATAAAATTAGATGTACCACACTTTAAGTATCTCTCTTGCTGGATACTTAAGCTATTCCCAATATCACAGAAGTCTTTTTACACATACATCCTTGTACATGCATCAGATTCTTTAAGATTGCCAAAGGTGAAGTGGTTGGGTCCCAGGGTGCAACTGTTTTTTAGCATTTCAATACATAATACCAAAGTACAGTCCAGAACCATTGTACCAACTAATGCTCCCACCAGCAGCACATTGCAGTGTTGATTTCCTCCTGGTCTCACCAGCACTCTGTCAACACTGGGTACTGGTGCGTCGTGTACATGACATTATATGCCAGGCACTGAGAGTGAATTAAAACAGTTCATGTTGGGAATGGGGCAAGAGAGGGAGATAAACAAGGGAGTTGACATCTACAGACCAGTTAGCTGAGATTACAGTACATTAGAGCTCCAAATGCACAGAATCTGAACATCACGTTCATCCTAGGACAAGTGTTACAGAGGTTTCCTGAAGAGGTTCATTCTGAGGCTCACCTTGAAGGATCATCAGGAGTTAATGATGAGTGTATTAAGCCATTCTTGCATTTCTATAAAGAGATGCCTGAAATTGAGTAATTTTTTTTTTCTGAGACGGAGTCTTTCTTTGTCACCTAGACTGGAGAGCAGTGGTGCGAACTTGGCTCACTGCAACCTCTGCCTCCCCAGGTTCAAGCGATTCTCCTGCCTCAGCCTCCCGAGTAGCTGGGATGACAGGCACCTGCCACTGGGCCTGTCTAATTTTTGTATTTTTAGTAGAGATGGGGTTTCACCATGTTGGCCAGGCTGGTCTCAAACTCCTGACCTCATGATCCTCTCACCTTGGCCTCCCAAAGTGCTGGGATTACAGGTGTGAGCCGCCGCACCCAGCCAAAATTGAGTAATTTATAAGAAAAAACTGTTTTATTAGCTCATGACTCTGCTGGCTATACAGGAAGCGTGGTGGCATCTGCTTCTATAGAGACCTTAGGAAGCTCCAATCATGGTGGAAGGTGGAAGGCACATCACACTGTGAAAGCAGGAGCGAGAGTCAGGGGAACATGCCACAAGATCCCATCACTTTTAAAGAACCAGGTCTCATGTGAACTCAGAGCGAGAGCTCTCTTATCACTAAGGAGATGGCCCAAGCCATTCGTGAGACATCGGCGCCCATGACCCAAACACCTCCCACCAGACCCCACCTCCAACAGTGGGGATTACATTTCAATGAGATTTGGGTGGGGACAAATGTCCAAACTATATCGATGAGTAAAGAACAAGAGTAAGGAACAGGGAAGCAGTGATAGAGAGAATGATCCAGGTAGAGAAAAGTTTCCAGGCATGAATGTCCAGCACCTTTTCAGGGAGCAACAAAAAGTTCTGTAATGGTTGCAATAAAGGGTGCGTGGGGTGTTGGGGATGGTGGACAGGAATGATGGACAGTGAGGCTGATGAGATGCGCTGGGTCTCATCAAGAAGTGTCCTCCGGGCTTAGCAAAGGAGCTCTAACTTTATCTGGAAACTTTCCTTGGGAGGCAGGATTTGGCATCAAAACCTGTGTGTGGAAGACTCACAATGATCCAAGGGAAGGACACTGATGCTGGGCTCAAGCATTGCTTTGTCATTCCCTGATGAGCTCTGTGAGCTTGGGAATGTGTCTAGTAAAGGAAAGGAGCTGATCCAGGTCCTCTTGAATTCTGGCAGTTTTTTACTTTTTTTCCTTGCAGAAAAGGTGGCCATTAAGATCCTGGATAAGACCAAGTTAGACCAGAAAACCCAGAGGCTACTATCCCGAGAAATCTCCAGCATGGAAAAGCTGCACCATCCCAACATCATCCGCCTTTACGAAGTCGTGGAGACCCTATCCAAGCTGCACTTGGTGATGGAATATGCAGGGGGTGGGGAGCTGTTCGGAAAAATTAGCACTGAGGGGAAGCTCTCTGAACCAGAAAGCAAGCTCATCTTCTCCCAGATTGTGTCTGCCGTGAAGCACATGGTGAGCAGGGGTGACGAGTGAGAACCTTGTTCCCATTCCACCGACATTGGGAGAACAGGGCTTTAGGTTACCAAGCCTCAAGTGTCCCAGAGGGCTTTTGTCCTACAAAGCAGACAGTAGTCCCTTCTGAGAGTCAGAAGTCTGGCTGGGATCATGCTCCTTGCCTGTGAAGCAATATCCAGGGATGTCCAGTTACACATCAACCTTCTAGCTTCTGCAGACGTTGGCAGGACTCACTGGGAGCAGCTGATGAATATCGCCCACTCCCTGGCCATACCCATTTCTCCAACCTCATCTTCCACTGTCTGGATAGCTGGCTCCTCACTGCTTCTTGGTTTTGCTTTCCTATTTCTGTCTAGGATGCCCTCATATGACATCTCACATTCTAAATCCTATTCATACTTCATGCCCAGCTCAGTTCATTCTCTCTCTCTCTCCCACCCCCCACCCCATGTGTGTGTATGTGAGAGAGAGATGTTCTTCAATCTCACATCAGTAATACTGATCTTTTGCCTTCAGTAAGATCCTCTAGCTCTTATTGCCTCTGTGCGTCAGTAGACTTAAACTTGGTTCTGTCTTCCTTCTCCTTTCGTTCCTTCGCTTCCCTCCTTCCCTCCCTCCTTCCTTCCTTCCTTCCTTCCATTCCCTTCTTCCTTCCTCTCGCCACCTTCCTTCCTTCCCTCCTTCTTCCTCCTCGACTCTTTTCTCTTTCTTTCTTTCTTTTCTTTTTTCTTTTTCTTTCTTTCTTTCTTCTTTCCTTTCTTTCTTTTTTCTTTCTTTTTTTCTTTTCTCTTTTTTTCTTTCTTTCCTTTCTTTCTTTCTTTCTTTTTCCTTTCTTTCTTCTTTCTTTCTTATATCGTTTCGTTTTTCTTTTCTTTCTTTCTCTCTTGTCTCTCTTTTTTTCGTTTTTCTTTCTCTTCTTTCTTTTCCTTCCTTCCTTCCTCATTTCTTTCTCCGCTCTCACATCCTCTGAAACACCATACTCGATCCGGCACACTTTCTTTCTTTTTCTTTTCTTTTCTAGCTATCCTTTCCCTTCCTTTCTCTTTCCCTTGTCGTTTTTCTTTTTCTTTCTCTCGCTCGTCACCGTCTTTTCTTTGCTTTCCTTTTTTCTTTCCTTCTTTCCT